TAGCTTTCTGCTTCAAAATAAGAAAAAGCCTGAAGTGTTTCTAGGGTACAAGAATAGAGTGTTGTACAATGCTAGACACATACACCTGACAAATATTAGGTGAATAAACTGGAGGCTTCTTTTGAGTTAAGGTAGTAAAGAATTTCAGCAATAGCCTTAGGTCTGTCAAAGTGCTTGGAGGGTGAGGGGTTTACACGGATAAGACAGAGTTGGCTGGTCTTTATATCCACACATTCCCATGCTCTATCTAAGCAGTTGATCTTCCAGGTAATGAATGACAGCAGTCCAAGGTAATATGGAATATTCTAGATTTCAGAAAGATTGCATTACAGGGAGTACTAGAGAGAGAAAGAGGTCTATCCTAACCTGAAGTATCTCACGAAACCAAGTCAGTCAACCTCATCTAGCCATACGCCTATCATAGCTACTGATTCCTACACATCATTGTATATCCTTATTATTCTTTCCTGGTTATGCTGACAACAAGTACAAAAAAGAAATAAAACCATATGAATGTCCAAAGGACCAGAAATAATATGGCTCTGTAGATTTTATGCAGTCAGTAAGAAATGAGTAAGGTGAATCCATCATTCTGGAAACTTTCTTCATGAATTTTTGCTTAAACTCTTTGGAATGTAGAAAACTCCAGTAGAATGACTCCATTCCTAGTGGAGATATGCTATAGGAAATGCAGTCAACTGAACTTTTTTACTGGAGAGAAGTGGCTGCATTTGTATACTAGGATGTAATGTATAAGAATGTTCATGAATCACTCTTTGTCATAGCAAAACCTGGAACAACTCAAACGCTCATCAATAGGAAGATGGACAAACTGTGGTTTAGTTATAGATGGAATACTATACTGCAGTGAACCTCAGCTAAACATAACAAAATAGATGAATCATAGAAATATAATTCTGAGTAAAAAAAAAAAAAAAGCCCAAAAGATCACATATAGCATGATACTCTTTTTATAAAGTCAAAACAATTAAAGCCAAAATGTAATTTTTAGGAACACATATACATATGTGATAAAAATATATAAAAAGGAAATCAAGCAAATAATGAACACTAGTTATCTCAGGACTGGATAGAGAATGACCACACAGAAAAATTTAAGTTACTATCAATGCTGTAGTTTTATGGTTGGGAGGTGATTTCCTGAGTATTTATTATTATGAAGAAGATGTTATGGAGGCAACAGGACTTACAGGTGGGTCTCCAGGAAGAAAAAAGAGTCAGTGACGGCTCTCAGACCGTTTAGAGTCTATATAACAACACAATTAGTACCTTCTCATATCCAGTTAGATACTATTCTCTACTGTGTCATAACATCTTATACAAGGCTAGCAAATTAAGACTTTAATTTTTGGTTAAAAAGAAGAAAACTAGGGCTTCCCTAGTGGCAGTGGTTGAGAGTCCGCTTGCCGATGCAGGGGACACGGGTTCGTGCCCTGGTCCGGGAAGATCCCAGATACCGCGGAGCGGCTAGGCCCGTGAGCCATGGCTGCTGAGCCTGCGCGTCCAGAGCCTGTGCTCCGCAACGGGAGAGGCCACAACAGTGAGAGGCCTGTGTACCGCAAAAAAAAAAAAAAAAAAAGAAGAAGAAAACTATAACACCAGCACTGTCTGGTTGGATCATCTACCTTACTCATCTCCTTAGTGCCAAATAACTTTAGACTGTTTCCAAAGATTACATTTGTTTTCAACAGACAAAGGCTGTGTTCCCATTGAGATCACAAAAAAGGAAATAGCATACAGATTTCAAAGGCAATTTTAAAAGGAGCTCTAAAATGTTTGAACAATGAAATATATGCTTACCCTTCTAAATAATCAATCTTCTGAAGTGACTGTTTTAAAAACCAGACTCATTACCTGGAACGGAGAGCTTCTCCAAGGTAGAGCAAGAACACTGCCTTCTGCCTAGCTTTCCACAAGCACTCTCATATCTGTTGAATGGAAATGCAAACTTTAGACTAAAGGACTTCTTTCCTAGGAATCACTGCAATACAGCGCCCTCTGGTGCATTATATCAGAGGTTTTTTTGTTCGTTTGTTTTTTGTTTTAATTTCCTTTTCCTTTAGGTTTGAGTGTTTAAGTGTTCAGTTTAAAGTATTGTAAAGGTTCAAATGATAGAGAAGTAATAGCCCTGACTAACTTAATTTTCTTTACTGAAGGTTATTATAGTATATACTTAAAACTTCGGTGTCAGATATTAGGTTAAATGACTATAAAATCCATTTTTATTTAGAAAATGTTTTGAGTTTTCTAAAAGAAAGTAATTTAATGAAACAACAAGGTAAGTGGCCAATTTAAGAGGCCAAGGCTAGAGAGGGAAGAATTATTACATCCTTATGGCAACATTTATCACACTTAGTGCATATTAACAACAATACATATAACTTTAAAATCTGCCTATCTCCCCAATATTTAGTAAAATACAAATGAGGCAAGCAAGGCTTATAAGGAAGGAAAAAAACAAAGAGAATCCTATTTTTGTGTCTCTTCAATATAACCTAAAATAGAACCTTTTCTCCCATTCTCTCCATTTACAATTTGCCCAGAAAATTATCCTAACTTTTCCAGAACCCTCTAACACATGCAGAAAAAACATTTTAAAGAACAAGTTTGCTTACAGAACTAAAATATTTTTCAAAGGCTAATGCTTGAAATCCATCTAATATTGAACTCACTCATTTATCTAGAAACCTCTATGCTTAGGTAAGCAGTACTTTTCATGGACTTCCAAAGTAATGGCGACATTTTCATTCGATGGAGAAACAAAAATGCTCTACTTCCTCATCTTGCTTTTGGCTATCCTAAAACCTTTGCTCTTCAATTTATCAAAAGTATACCAGATCAACCAGGGTCATTTAACTGAGCTGATCAATTTTACTCTGAGTTTTGTTCTAAGAGTCACTATAGCGCTTAGCTAACTAGGTTTGAATACTGGGCCACCAAAGACCAATATTTAGAGCAGCAACTGCTCATTCAATGCGAAAGAGGCCACTGGTACTCATTCTCCCTCCATGCTGGTGGGCTCACCTCCCTTCTCTAGCCCCTCTCTGTTTTGCTTCATTATCCTCTAGTGCAAACACCACTGGCATTCTATCACCTCACCATTCAGGTATATACACTTAAAGTAACACCAGGTGAGACTGGAGGTTCATCTCTGCAGTGTTTCCACCACTACTCTGATCTCCAATCAGACTGACCTCTCCATCTCACGCCGTTTCCTTTATGGTTGTTTGTCCTGTGGTTCTAATCAGACTTTAAGCTCCCTATAATATGCTGCTTCTGCACTTTCCTGAAATCTCAAAGTATAAATTACATGATCTGCAGTAGTAATAACTATCTTTAAGAAATGGGTTTTATTTTTGAACCAGAAATATCAGTCCCACAAGCATTTATTGAATGTGTTCTGAGACTTTCAAACACAAAGGTGAATGAAATGCCTGTTCTCAGAGTCACAGTAACGAAGACCGTGGTACAGTGGCGAGAGCGTATGCACAAGGACAGTCTCTAAATAAAGGGATATGAACTGTGCTACTTTTTAAAATCACCATTTAGAAATAACAATATATTTTAATTCCTTAATAGATGAGAATATTTAAAAATTTTTTCCTATAAAATATTCAAAACTGGAAAATAATGAACGTATTTCAATTTTTTTAGTTTAACTGACTTCTTAGAAATTTAAGGTATTGGGGAGAGGACTTAGAGGAAAAAGTCTGAAAAAGAAAATACTTATTTAAAACTTGCCGCATGCCTACTATGTGCTAAACACTATGCTAGATGCTGGGGATACAACAGTGAGTAAAACCCAACCTTGATCCTGCAACGATGGAGCTTACAGCACAATGGTTGAAGCAGATAATAATCAGACAAGTGAAGGGCAAGTTACAATAGTGATAAGCGCCACAAAGGGAAATCACAGAACACTGAGACTCACGGAGGCTTCCCTGAGGAAATGACATCTAAAGGAAAGATGAAGCAAAGAGAGTAATTGAAGTAGGAAGAATATGCACAAATGCACTCTGACTAGAGGGTTCATGGCAGTCTTAAGGAACTGAAAGAGAATGGGAGCAGAAGGGCAAAGGGCACTTGGTAGGAGAAAACAAGGTCAAAGAAGCAGGGAGAAGCCAGACCTTGTAGGGTCTTGTGGGTCATTTTAAGGATATATGTTCACCTTAAAGGCAACAAATACACAGCCGTTAAAGAGTTTTAGCTGTGTTACTAATTAAATTCTAAGATCACTTCTTCAAAGGATCTGGCATAGTTTCAGATACACAGTAAATATATTCGGTAAATGCTGATTCCCTCCCAAGCACACTCTGAAAAATTTACCTTTTTATCTCAGTAGTGTATTTAATCAATTACCAATCACAGTATCTTTAGAAAATGAATTAGCATTATTTAATTTTAATCTAATGCCCATTTTCTCCCAAGTAATATAATAAAGTAGAATTCAAAGTGCACTGAACATTAGAAGTTATTTATTGAATCATAATATGATCTTATATAGTGCTAAAAATGGAGTACAATTAAGCCAGCCTCTGTATCTATATTTTGATTGTACTCTTAGTTTTTAGGACTGAATATTTTGTAAAATATATCAATACCAAGATGAAACAAAAATGATTAACAATATAAAGTTGTAAATGACATAATTTAAGGGATCCAGAGCTCAATATTATAAATTTATTTAGCAAGCCAAAATATACCTTCAAGGAAGGCTGAGGAACTTATCTAGAAACCAACTGTTTCTATCAACTATCTAATACACAATCCAGTGTCTGTGCCCTATATATGGTTTCTGTCTTTTCAAATTTCTCTTATTTTCTCAAATGTTTCTGCTGTAATCCATTAAGACAGTTTGCAAACAATAAAATATTTTACCTAAGACATTTCAGCAATGCATCTTAAAATTTACATTTGCAGAGACAGAAAGAAGCTAATCTTATAGATTTAAAAAAAAGTTAAGAATCTTTGGTAATCAATTACCAGAGAGGCATGACATCAGGGAACCATACTCTTCCCAGGTATTTGGAGGCTTCAGCATGAATTTCATCTAGGCTATAATCATCATCAGGGATCAAAACTTCCTCCATGACAGAGAGCTGGGTTAGCCTTCTCCCACATAGTCTTACAAACTCAATGAATGCACTGCAGCTAACTTCACATTGACTGAGGCCCAAGGCTGTTAAGTTTTTACAGTGTTCAGCAATACAAATAAGTTCATTATCAAGAGCCTGAAGACCATGAGCACATACTACTAACTCTATTAGTCGTGGACAGTTAAGACCTATCCGTCCTAGAACTGCTTTGCTTATGGAACGACCAAAATAAAGGTGAGTAACAGGGGTTTCTTCTTTGAAGAACGTCTCCAATTCCTCTTCATATAAAAAGAAGTACATAACAACATTAACTCCAGGGGAGTGTTCAATGAGTACATCCCAACTTTGTTTTTTAATAGAAAGAAATTTGATTTGTCCAGGATTTTCACTCACAACATCTATTCGAAGATGCTCAAGGTTAACATGGGTCTCACTTGAAAGTGCCAGGAGAAGTTCATCACTTAGCATGTAATAATTTAATGCCAGTTCTCTAAGACCTTGACAATGGTCAGCTACACAAAGGATTCCTGCAGGAAATGGGGAAAAATCCTTAAACACAAAGAATATGGATACTAATAGAACATTTTGTGAATTTAAATTTGATATTATTCATTATTTGCTAAAATAGACGTAATGATTTCTGAGGAGATGGATGCCAAGATATATATAATTATACTTGTAATAAAAAAAATCCATAACTAAGATACTCCTAGGAGAAGCAATTTAAACTATACGTAGCTTATACATTAAGAGGTCTTTTGAAAAAAGATTAATGAATTATGTCTCATAAGCATGTAGTTTTCAATAGGAAATTGCATTATTACTACTACTATAATAAAAAAACGTCATGCAAGCGTAAAAAATATAACCTACCATCAGATGAAACATGAGGACAGCTACTCATTTTGAGGCGTCTTAGAGTATCACTATTATTGGCCACAAGAATCTTCAAAGAAGGATCATCCACTGGTGTGTCTTCAATTTTGATTGATGATAATGATTTTGAGTTGACAAAAACAACTGTAAGTGCTGACACAAAATGAGACTAGCATGGCAATAAGAAAAAAATTACAAAGACATTATTTAAACATCTACAGCTTCAATTAAGTAATTCATTAAGCTACTTATATCAACATGCTTACACTAACATAATAAAAGCAATCAACATATTGCTATTTTTTACAGTGCCATTAGCCAGTAGAAGACATTTCTATAACAAAGTATAGTTTTATACTTTTACCATTAATAAATGGAATGGTGAGAAAGGAAGAAATTTCAAAGATTTCATAAACACATCTTCCAATTATTTTCAATCTTAAGGATTTGTTTTTCAATATTAAAAGGATATAATCATATTTATTTCCTAGAATAGAGGTTGGCAAGTTATGGTCCACCAGCCAAATCCAGTCCACAGCTTGTTACTGCTATGACTCATGAGTTAAGCGTGGTTTTTACATTTTCAAATGGTTGAAAGAAAATTTTTAAGGAGTAATATTTTGTGATATGTGAAAATTATATGAAGCTCCTTCAGTGTCCATAATTAAAGTCTGACCGTAATACAGCCATGCTGCCTCATTTATGTAATGCTATGTCTGCTTTCACCCTACAGTGCTAGAGGTGAGCAGAACTATATCACCCACAAAACCTAAAATTGTGCTTTCGGGACCTATTCAACCCCTTAGCCTAAAAGAAATAGAAATCTTATCTGTTTTATTCACTCCTGTATGTCCAGCACCTGAAATAGTATCTGGCACATAGTAAAAGGTCAATATTTATTGTTGATGAATAAATGAATAAATGATGTCATATTCTTCCAAATTTTTTTCTAGCAGATTATCTAAACAAAGATACAGTTTGAAAACTTTCTCTGTTTTGAAGATTGACAAACTAAAGCTTATTTACAGTTTGACTTCAAAATGGATGGAATTTCACAAGTTTTCAGATCCAGTATTTTTTGACACAGATAGAAAGTATGGAAATGAAATCCATGCATGATCATTTTTCCTTTTTCAAAATCAACTTGAATTCTATCAAAGGCTCTATTGTCCCTATCAGAATGACCAAAGTGGTTATACATCTCAATTCATTTATAACAAAACATTGGTTTATACTAATTGTAAACTGATTTACACAAATTTTTAAATGGTGGACAGCTAAACCTCTTTACTAAATTTTATGGTGCCAAAAATTATTAGAGGAATAGAAATAGATCACTCATTTTCCTTAAGAAATATAAGGTTTATTTTCCTTTTAATCAACTCTCACCCAACTCTTTTAGTACTGAAGGACACATTTAAGCATTAGAGTACATATTTCATCACAGTAACAATATATTAGTTTAGTACTTCTTATGCCTAGCAAAATGCTGTATCTTTACATTACTTTCCCTCAGTTTACAAATGAAAAAACTGAGGCTCAGAGAGATCCACAACTTTGCCAGAAGCCACAGAGCTCATTTTGCTGTGGAGGCGGAGCTTGAAATGAAGCCTGCTAATCGCTGGTCCTCCACTCTAGTGACTGCATCCCCTAACCCAGAAGCTAGCCCTGGAAGCTGATGGGCAACATGAGAGACAACCCAGAATCTCAGAATTTCAGGTTGATCTGATTCCCTAGCTCATAAACAAGGAAATAACTATTTAGAAGTAGTAAGTTTTCATCTGGTTACTTAAATTACTTGAATCCCCAAAAGACCCATTCTTTTCAGGCTAGCAGAAATGCTTGCTAGAAGAGAGCCATGACCCAGTTAGGGAGAAAGGAGATGCTACTCTTCCTCTGTCCTCTTCCATAGGAAGGTTTCCATTAGCCAGTTTTACTGACAACCATAGTTTAGTGCTTATTACATATCAGGCACTATTCTAATTCTGGGTTTATAATAGTAAATAAGCAAAACAGAATCCCTGCCTTCAAGGAGTTGGTTGATGTTCTCTGTCTGAGGAGAAGAGAGTAAACATGTTAAATAAACATGGTGATTTCAAGCCCTGATGAAGGATATAAAGAAAAGAAAATACTGTAAGACATTAGTGAGTAACTACAGGGGGGGTGTTGTTCTCGCAAAAGTGGTCAAGGAGGGCCTCCCTGAGGAAATGGCCTTCAAGTTGAAGACTGAATGAAGAGAAGACCGTCATCAGTTTCTGCGGCAAAGACTGCTGGTTGCTTCCTAGGAATCGTCCATCCTTTCTTTTTTGGTAATCTGGTTCCAATTTTTAGCTGGGCACATTGCCACCCAGCTAAAAGACTGCCCTAGCCTCCCAGAAATGTGATGCGGCCACAGAGCTAGGCTGGCTGACAGACAGAAGCACCATGAGGTACTTAGGGCTAGTCCTGTGGTACTTACAGCTTGAAAAAGGAGAGGGCACACCCTTCTCCCCCCATTTCTTCCCTCCAGCTGTCTAGAACAAGGACGTGATGGCTGGAACTGAGAAAGCCATCCTGGGCAATGAAAATGAAGAAAACACCTTGGAGAGAATGGAGCGCCTAGAAGGGGCGTGGGTTCCAAACAACTTCATACCAGCTATGGACTGTGGCACCTATGGATTTCTTTAGTGTAAGAGAAATAAACCTCAGTCACGTTTTCAAGCCACTGCTGTTTTAGAATTTCTACTGTAAGGATGCAATCATCATCCTAATCAGTATAGGACATTTAGTTAAACATTATATTGTTCCACCTCCAATGGAGAGACAAGAGAATTACAGGAAAGACACCCACTATTGGCCCTACACACTCTACATTCAAAGCAACTAAGTAAACTGGCACTTGAAAATTCTAGGTATAACATCTAACTTTTATATTAATGACATCTACTGTGAAACAATTACTAAAATTACAGAATATATCTAAAGAATGAAACCATGCATCAGCTATTTCATCAAAAATAAGTGCTAGTCAACAGAAAACGGCTTTAAATAATTATTTGAATGCAAGTAGGGTTATGGTCTGTTTTTAGGAATAGAATTATTTTTGACTAGTTCGACAATATTTAAGAATGTTAGTAGATCTCACAAAAATGTCTACCATCTTTACCTTTGACACATTCATAAAACTTGGCTTGGCCGTTGAAATCAAGCCCAAAGTCTGTATAGAACAATTTACCAGCTGAGAAAGTATGTCACAGGCAGCTTCTGCTGATTCAGTACTACTATCAACCTACAAAGACAATTTAAAATCTTAATTTCCTGAATATAACTTATCAGAAAGTTATTGGCAATATAATTATTTAATAGAATTCAATTGCAAAACCATACTTATCCCTTCAAGCTATAAAATAAATTAGAAGTTTTTCTCTATACACGCTATCTCAGATAAAAAATGAAAAACAGAAATGATGACAAGTGAATTTTCTAAGCACTTTAAACTTTCAAATCTTATTTACACTTTCAAATTGTATTTACACTTTCAAATACAATTACCTGAAATTTAATAATGGCATCTACATGAAGGAAACTGAAGTTTAAATTATTCAATTATAGCTCAAGTGCTACACCTAAATCTATGCAAGTAACTACAGAGAAATAGGAAATAGTTTGGGATTAAAATTCTTCAAAATTCATTGACTGCTTCAATATAATGATCTAGTTATACACAAATGTCAAGAAAACCCAAGTCATTGTTTTTATTTAATGTTTATTTCTCTTACCTTAAAGCTGACATACTGGAGATGGGCAGCATGCTTTTTAATGATCTGCTGAATGAGATCAGGATGAGTGGAGTTAAAATATGAAGTAGCTGACTTGTTCAGTTCAAACTCAAACTTTCTCCAAAGGTCAGGAATATGAAAAACTTCATTCCATCTCCTACATACAGAAGATGCCCGGGCCCGATCCATTAAAGGAAGATACTGAAAAATGCGTAACACTACATAGTGAGGCAAACTCCCCCAGTCTAGAAGGACAGTGTATGTATGAGTCTGGTTGAGAGAAGAGTAGAACCCAAGTTTAGGCTGTTTCACTGCTGGTGAAGACTGGACAACTTTATTCCCAACAGATAAATTGTTCCTCTTCATTCTGTAAACATTAAACAATGTTAAGTGACCATTTTCCCCACATTTCCATCATATATTTTGCTTTAATTGTATGGAATAACAACATTAGAAAATGAGAAACAGTTTAATACAATTTTGACAGGAACATTCCACTTTCATGCGTTGATAGGTACTACTATGTGCTAGGGATACAGAGATAAATAGGAGGGGACCTGCTCTCAAAGAGCTATGATGAAACGGCAAAATACGGTGATACATGCCATCACTGAAGTTGGGACAAGTTGCAATGGAAGATTAAGGGAAGGGCATGTATTTGAGTTTGTATGTGGGAGCGAGTGGTTGGGGAGGCTTCCAGGAGGAAAGGTCCAAGGAAGCAGTGTAAGTGCCAGGTTTATTCCTCGTCAATGACTGTATTCTCACTATCACACTGCAATTGTGCTAAGAACTCCCAGGGGGTCTGGGAGCCCGTAAAACATAATTAAAAGCATAAATCTGGGTAAGTCCCAGCTCTGCCACTTACTGACCATGGGATCTTGTCTGAGCAAATTAACTTAAGCCTCAGTTTCCTCATCTGAAAAGCAGGGAGAACTGCAGTACCAATCTCATAAGGTTATTGAGACGATTAAAGTATCTTAAGTGCCAGGACACAGTAAGTGCTCAATATATGCTGCAGTCATTGTTGTTATATTAAATTGTCCAGTGAATCTTCCTGAATAAATTTCATGACATTACTTAAGTTGGAGCACAATTCTAACAAAAAGTCAAATGACCTGTGACAATGTTCAGATGACACCCAGGACACAAGAGCTGTAGAGAAGTGGGATATAGCAGGGACAGAAGCTGTGTGACCAGCATACTGGTTCCTTACCAGCCAATGTAAAATAGCAAAGGAATGAGCATTCTTTCCCAACGAAAAGAAATGATGACTCTCCAGGTATTAGTCAGCTTGAGACACAACTAAGTTCCAAGAAATTTCAGGTCTAGATATACCCAAGTATATAATCCTGTACATAGATTTTACATAAGAATCTAAAGTATTTTAAGTATACAATAATTTAAAAGGTAAAATAATGATAAGAGTAGTTCTGAACTTACGTTGACTATATAACCCTCTCTTTACCCCTGAATGTTAGGAATGTATATGTGGAAGACTTGGTGTCATAATTGAAACCTACCTTCAACTCTAATGAAATATCTATTTAATATGTAAATATCTCTGTCTGTGAGTCACTCTGTCTGATGTGAAACATTTCTTAACCACAACATAGAGGTGGATCCCAGAAACAGGAATGACCTATAAAGTCACTGAACAAAATGAAAGGTCATCTTTAGGGTTTGGAGAAAAAAAGGAAAACACATGTATCTCAATCATCAGGCAAAAGAGCTACTACACACTTTAATCTGACTAAACCAGTTACGTGCATAACTGAGCAATACAATGTAGAACACATGAAACTGCTGACATCGATAATTCAAAGCATATACTATTTTAAAGGGCTAATTCCCTAAAAGGGAATACGATGGCCCAGGGAAGGTAGAGGAATGGACACTAGATTCTCAACTCTGATGTGGAGCACGTTTATTGACATTTGGCTTGTAACTGATTTATTTGGTAGCCTACAGAATGGAGAGTTAAAATTTTACTAAGGAATTACAAAAAAGTTATCCCTAACATAATCTGTCATTTAAAAAGCAGTGAAGCCAAAAATAAAACAAAGACTTCATCCAAATGTCCAGTTAGAAAACTGCCTTGCAGTTCTAAATAAGGGGATTGTGCTATACATTCAATCTGCATCAACATGGATTAAACGTTAAACCTGTTTATTCATTACAATCATTAAATTGCCAATTCACTGACAGAATCACCATAAATAACTTAAGGATATTAGGTACCAATAATTCTATTAAAAATAACACCTTAGTTTTCTTTTTCCTCATGTACATTAATTTTCAGAATATAAAACCCACCCACAAATCATAAATTTTATATATAATAATTTTATAGCAATGAGCATCAGGAAAATATTAGAACTCAAGACAAGTTGATCTTTATTAGCTTGAAATTCCAGCCTAAGCATATACAATCACTTTTCAAAACTGCTATTTCCTTTTCAAACTACCAACTGTCTTACCTAAAGAAGGCTTCCAAGTTAGAGTCCCCTCTGAACAAGCGAAATGAAGTGACTGCTGCCATGGGGTGCTCGCTCGCCAACAGCCATTTGACTTCACTTCCTAGCTTGGCAAAACAGCACAAAAACACATTTATCAGAATATATAAGTAAAATCCCAATAATTTTTATGCTTAGGATATTTAAATGTCATTGTATATGCTGAAAGTTTTTGTCAGGAAATTACTGATTCCCAAACTATTTTCTACTCAGAAGAAAACCTGTCCATTAAAAACAAAACAAAACAAAAACACATTAGCCTGATAAATGGAAATACTGCAACACTTGCCAGGAATTACATGTGAAGTTCTGCTCAAATAAAAGGCTGTGTGTGGATCAAACAGCCAAAGGAGGGCTCTGAAAATCCACATTTTAACAAACACATATGGAGAGGTATTACAAAACATTGAAGGTAGCCCATGATTACATTTATTTGTTCATAGGCTGTGTAAATCTTTCAGTTCCAGTTTTTAGCAGCACGTAACGCCACTACAGTTAAAATAATTAAGCAGACGTAACTTTGATTTTTTCTCATTCCCATATGAATGTAGTTTGTTTGACTAGTCTGCTGTTAACATAAGCTTCTGTGGTTTTTATTTTTTCACTTATATTGAGACATATAATTGATTCGTTCATAATTGATTGATTCATACTCTCTTTGAGGCTTGATCAATTTTAGGCACAGTGACTTATCAGAATTAGGAGCAGTCTATGGACATGGAAGAAAATAATAACAGGTCTACACCAGGATAAAACTCACTGCCTGGACATCATGAATAAGTATCATAAGTAAAAATAAATAAATGCATTGTGCTAATTTTTGTGAGCCTAACTCAGTTACACACAGGAGGTGGAGGAGGCAACCTATCGATCCACTAAAAACGTCTCTTAAATCTCTAATGCCTACCACCTGCCAGCTCTCAACTTCTCTCTGAAGCCTACTCCTGAAATAGAACTTTGGAGGACAGACAGGGAGAATGAATTAGAGGTCAGTATCCACAATTTGATTTCCCCACTGCCAAGTGCTGTTCTACTATCATCCAAAACACTATTTTCCAGATAATGGCAAGGCCATCTCTCTCTCCTTTACATTCCACTCCAGAAGTAGGCAGAAAGGAGCCACCAGGTACACTTTCAGAGGAACACCACAAATAAGAGGAAGAAAAGTCAAGTGACATATTTCCCTAATCAGACGACACACAATTTTATTTACTGCAGAAAATTTTCTACTGAGTTATCAGTACGGCTGATTTTGTGTGTGCAGCACACTCTTTATGCTAGAGAACACTGAAGAGATCTAGTAAAGGTATATAAATAGGGAATCACTACCTAAGACCCATAAGGTGGTACCAAAGTACCTAACTCAGATCAGTTCACTGGAGTCTTTAAGATCAGATGAATTACTTCCCAGGTGGCTGAAGGAATTTGACTGCTGTTTTAGAGTCACTATCTGAAAGTGTGAGGGCTGGTGGAAGACAAACCCAGAATTCAGAATCCCATTGGGTGGTAAGCCACAATTTGGAAAAGGGAGAGATGAGCAAGCCTGACACTGATCACAATTCTAGAGTATGAAGCAGGTTTGTAAGCACTTGGGAAAGAATGCAATGATGACTCGAAGTCCACTTGGTGGCTTCACTATCCACCGTAACCCGATTTCCTTTTTTTGATACGTCTATTAATTTGGTAGATAAGGTGACCCTGTGAATCGGAGCCTCTAGAAGTATCTAAGAAATCTCCCACAGGATTCTTGAGGGAAGGATAGTCAAAGACAGGTTAGACGAAAAGCTAAACATCCAAAGCCATATCTTCTGCACCATCACCAGATTCTTCCAGATTGGTGAAATGAATAAACAAAAGGCACTTTTAACAGTTTCAAGTTTTTAATAGTCGCAACAGTAGAAATATTGTGTAAATACTACAGATAAAGAATAAAAATTCAAAACTCTCTAAAAGGTTAGACAAATTCGTTGGAAGCAGCAAGATGAAGATGAACAGAAATAATGAGCAAATGTTCTTTGTTTAAGCTACTTTTCTAAGGTGGTACACTGAGAAATCAGGCTGCTGCCACCACAGGCACATGGTCTCTGCTAAGGGGTCTGAAATCCCCGTCACCAGTGCAATGACCAGAGAGGCGTGGCCCGGCAGGAGAGCAGAAGATTTATTCCAAAATATAGCTTTGAAACACACAGCATTCTAATAGAAGCAAATTGTGCTGAGGGGCAAAATCCTCCCACTAAACATATCCCAAACAGAGGACAAACAATTTTTTAGGGATGTTCTCAAAAATATTTATGTTCTTTGCAGCCCACATGACCCCTAAGTTCCCTTCTAAATCTAAAACCTACAATTTCTTAAAATATGAAAGTCAAATTACAATATCATCAAGGTTTCAACAGGAGAAAAATTAGTATTTATGTCAAACAAATCTTTCCTAAAGCAGTAACTGCCAACTTTTTGGTGTTATATTTTTTCATTGATTTAGCAATTTTCTATACACTCTCAATAGTCTCTGTTGTATCAAGATATATTTATTTTTCAGGAAAACTTTTAATTTTAAAATAGGTATGTTTGCTTTTAAATGACTCATGAAAACTGAAGTTTTCAAACTACATGTGGATTCAAAACACCTTTTGAGATGCAAGGAGAGGGTTAAACAGAACTTGAACTGAGCTATCTGTTAAAAATCCTTGAAAGGGAGGCCCAGCTGTTCCCCTCTCTTAACCCTCACCACCTCTACTCCCAACTCTGGAAGAGAAAAAGGAGCGAGCACAGGAAGCCAGGCCCCCTACGGGGAAGCCTTCTGACGTGGGGAAAGCCCTATCTTAGGGCTGGGTACACCAAGGGATCCAACAATTAATACAAAGAGTT